GAACAGACATGGTACTGCCTACTGGAAATGGACAAAATATATACTATACAAGCTGATGACTTTAACATTTTTTGAGGAACTCATTATCCATTTTGAAATTAAGAAGTAGTTATGGCTATTCACCCCGGAGCTCTTAAACAAAATGATTAACCTGGGCATCCCGAGACAGAAGGCAAGAGCTTATTTTTCCAGCTTTCCTTGCAGTGAGGGCACAGACTTGTGACCTGGGCTCCACCAATCAGAGGAAGGGGCAGGGGTACTCATGGTAGTACCCAGTGCCCAGCACCAGCTGTGTCTCTGCTCATCCAAGGCAGTCATAGTGCCTCCATGGAGCCATTCGACAGTGGGGCTTGGTGTATTATCACTGGCCTGGTATTATCCAAGCCCCATCCTTTAGCCATCTCAGGGATTCTATTAGCTACCTAATATTTAAAATATTTGTGTGCTGTTTGATTAACTGAAGTCGGTTTCATTGTTTAGAACTAAGAGCTCTGTCTCTGTAGAATGTTGATAATATAGGATACTGTGGTATCACATAGGATGAATATCTATATTGGTATATGGAGGTCCCAGAGGATTTTTGAGGAAGTCTCTAAGCTGAGATAAGAAGAATATGTAAAAGTTAGCCAGTCAAAGGGCAGGGAGAAGAGTGTTCAGGCGTGGCTGGTAGCATTTACAAAAGTCTAGAAGTGAGTGTGATTTGGGGAAATGGTGAAAGATGAAGCTAGATTAGAGATAACCATAGGCCAGATTATGTAGAGCTTTGTAAACTATGTAAAGAAATTGAGACCCATATCTTGAGAACACAAGGAATCACCAAAATGTGTTATTCAGAAGGGTGACACAATCTGATTTGCATTACTAAGACTACTTTACTTACATTCTGTATATTGGAAAGGGAGATTTGGGCAAGATAAATTACAGACCAAACAAGTAAAGGTAACTGATGTAGGGGGATGTATTGGGGTTGGAGATGAATGATCAGATTCAAGAGATATTCCAGAGATGGACTGATCAAATTTTATGATTGGTAAATGCATTGGAGAAATAAAAGGTAGAAAAAAGGATAAGGATAGATTTCTGGATTGAAATATGGTACAAATACTTGAAGTACATACTGTGTGTGTGTGTGTGTGTGTGTGTGTGTGTGTGTGTGTGTGTGTGTTAGAGAGAGAGATGTTTTAGCAATGCAGAGAGAATGAATTCTGATTTTTATATATTTATTAAAGAAAGAGATCACTGGGGGCTGTAATAGTTGGAAGACTTCATAGGGAAGTAGAGTGAGTTGGAATCTAAGTGACACGCAGGGTACGGGCACAGAGAAGATAAAAAAAAATATCTGGTAAAGGGAGCAGAGTGAGAGAAGGCAGAGTAGGCAGTGTAGGAAGCAATGTTAAAAGGAATTTCTATCTCTTGCACCACTTCTGTTGGCTCAGAAGTGTCTCTTCTTGAGTAGAGTTATGGGCCATGTTGTGATACCTGTCCACTATCCACTGTCATTCCACTGAAGAGAAATTCCAGGAATGCTATAACCCAGCTGCTTTTCTTCATTTTCACCTCCTATTGCAAGGGGCCAAAGTAGAAGGCTTTGTGGCAGCCAGGTGCTAGAAAACCTATACCAGCTGAATGATGAAGCACTGACAAACTGCATTTTCTATTGAAGAGCATTTTCTGGGAGATGAACACCAATCTGATGAGTGCCCATGACTGTACCAAATGCCTTTCATAGGTATTCCTGTGTTGACTTTGGTATTCTGGGATCATAGCCATGTTGTTTAAGAACAGGAATTAATTTTGGTGATTTTTGAATTTAGTTTTGCATCTTTGGTAGCCTTTATTTCTCAACTTGTTTCAATCCTAGAAATCAGTGGCTTGAGGGTCATTTAAAAAAATATAAGTCAAAGTTCATTCCTGGAAGACTTATAGACTCATGGATCATGTGAGTCATCAAGTTAGCATGCTTTATTAAAGTCAAAATGAAAACTCATTACTGTGCACTGAACCTCACGGAACCCGGAGTTCTTCAGGTATAAGACAAAGGAAGTATGCAAAAGCATTTTTTAGCTCAAGGTACTCTGTACAAATATTAAGTGATATTCAGCAATGCTCATGCTTAGGGAGTGTGAGTTCATGTCTAATCTTCCAGCTAATACCTTTTACCTCAGAGATAACCCATTTCTCCATATTCTCTCTTGGGTGAAGTCAGAAAACAGCTAGGCTCTATCCTTCCCAAAGCATTGTTTTGACCTCTTGGCTTCTAAAGCCCCAAATGTGGATCTCTTTTTCATCCGACCGTACCCTTCTGTTGTTTCGGTGTTATACACTGGATCACCAATGTGTTGTTCCTTTTTCTTTCTTCCTCTCCTCTTATTCTCCACCTTAATTTTTTGTTGTTTAGAAAAATCAGATCTTCAGTTTCTGTCTGCCAAACAAACTATTTCATTTTGATATATTTTGGTACATTTACCAAAATAATATTCCTTTCTTCATGCAGAGCTTTCTTTACATTTAGTTATTTTTGAGAGACAGAGTGACAGAGCACAAGTGGGGGAGGGGCAGAGAGAGAATGAGACACAGAATCTGAAGCAGGCTCCAGGCTCTGAGGTGTCAGCACAGAGCCGATGCAGGGCTCAAACTCATGAGCCGTGAGATCATGACCTGAGCCGAAGTCGGAAGCTTAACTGACTGAGCCACCCAGGCACCTCTACATGCAGAGATTTCTTAATAGGAACTGATTTCACATTTCTTTGAAGAAATCATTTTTGAGAGAATAATCCCAGCCATGTGGCAGACTATGCTGGGCTTAGAGGTCATGGTGAGGAACTTGAATTAGATTGTATTCTTAGAGCAGTAAGAAGAAATTAAAGCGTTTTGAACAGGGTAATGACTGAGGTGATCTGATTTACACCAGTCTCCCGGATATTTGAAGAACAGATTATAAGCATCTAGAGTGGAAGCAGAGAAAGCAATAGTAGTAGTTCAGGTGAGCTGGTAACGATTTTTAGTCTAGAGTAGAGCAATGCAGATGGATTTGAGATCTGTTTGGTAGGTAGAAGTTTAGGGCTTTGTGTGATGTAACTGATATGCCTGGGATGTAAGAAAATGCAGTCACGGGGACTATCATTTATCTGTTGTAGCATAAAAATTAATCATCAAACCTGAGTGCCCTACAACAGTAAGTGCCTGGAGTGGCTAGCTAGGTAGATTTGCTGATATTGGCTGGACTTGCTGTCATAATGGGATTTGCCTGGCTGTTGGTTAATCTCTAGGTCTCAGCTGGGATGAGTGGGGTAAACTGGCTTTACCATACACATTTGTCCAGCGGGATAACCTGGGCACATTCTGCCTGTGGCAGAAATGAAAATGAGCAAGTAGAAATACAAAAAGTCGCTTAAGGGCTAGGCTCAGAACTGATAACCACCTCCATAATTTTCTGTTAGCCAAAACAAGTCCTGGCACCAGCCCATACCTCAAGGGGTATGAAAATAGCCTCTACCTTTAGTGAGAACTACAGTGTCACACAGCAAGGTCATGGATACAGGGAGAGATGAAGAATTAGGGCCATTTTGTAGCCAGATGCATGAAGAACTAAGTACGATTTTTAGCAACTGAATGTCATACTGTTCTTTAAGACTAGGGGAGGAATAGTTGAGTGGAAATGGATGTATCAAGAGTTCCTGATGAAATGTGAGATTCTGCAAGATATTCATCTTCTCCGTAAGACTTGTCCACTCTTCTTCCCTCCTATAGTACCTTGGATCCTCCTTAGCCTGAAGAAACTTGTTCAGTGGAGGTGGGATTCAAACCAAAGTAGTCTGATTCCAGACTGATTCCAGTCTGTATTCTTATAATTACTATTTCTAACCCCACACTTAAGTTCTGATAAATATTATCTTCTCGATTTTATTATGTGCTTAATAAGATTTTAGTACTCCTTGTAGACAGATGCTCCTGGAAGCCTCCCAGTTAACTTGTCCCTAATCTGCGTCTTCAACCATTCCCCAATAATACTGTCAGAGTGATTCTTCTTAAAGGAAAATTAGACCATGTCCCTTCTATTCTTAGAGGCTTTCAAGAGGTCTGCATTACTTACTAGATAAAGTCTAAGCACTTTAGCATGACTATAGGATCCCCCATACCCTGATCCCTGCCTATGTCATTTGTGTCTTTGTGTCCTCATCTGCCATTCTCTTTCATTTGTGCTCCAGCAGTACCAAGTTGCTCATTGCTTCTCATTAGTTGTGTACCATTTCATGCTTCCCTTTGTTCATAGAGTCTAGCTAACTTTTCTTGGAAAAAGTTTTCTTTTTCTTCTCATCCTTCCCTTGTCCATCTGGTATATGTCTAGTTTCTATCACCACTCTGATAGAGCATCACCTTCCTGTGATGCCTCAGACAGAATGCTCTCTTTTATACTTTTTTTGGAAACGTTTATGTAAGTCCATTTTTATATGTATCACGTTACATTGTTTTATTGTTAGCATGTCTATCTTCCACTTTAGTTTGTGAGCTTCTTGATGATTGCTGAGTGATAGAATTAAATCACCCAGCACAATGACATTTGGCTAAACCATTCAACACCTGTCAGGATGGAAACTGGCAGCCACCCCAGCTGCTCCCCCAGGGTGAAAACCAATAGACTAGCAAAATCTCTGCACTCACTTCTGCTGCACCTCCATAAATCATGCAAGGCAAATATCCTGCCCCTCTTATCTCCCCACCACTGCCAAAATTAGTCTGCCCTGGCATCATTGAAAAATGTCATGGGGAAGGAGATAGATATATATATAGTCCCCTGACCATGCACACTCTATCTTCTGTCTTCTCTAGTAGATACCAGAGTGCTCTCTCTCTTTTAATTTAATTTAATTTTATTTCATTAAAAAATTTTTTTTTACTGCTTATTTATTTTTAAGAGAGACAGAGACAGAATGCAAGTGGGTTAGGGGCAGAGAGAGAGGGAGGCACAGAATCCGAAGCAGGCTCCGGGCTCTGAGCTGTCAGTACAGAGCCCGATGTGGGGCTCGAACTCATGAGCTCTGAGATCACGACCTGAGCTGAAGTCAGACGCTCAACTGACTGAGCCACCCAAGCACTCCCAGAGTGCTCTCCTATTGGTGGGTCTTGCCCCTCAGGAAATCCCCTTGCTTTGCACATGGCTATGTGAGTAATAGTTTACTTTGTGGTCTCTGGCTTGGGTGTGATATGTTTTGACATATCCTTAAAAAGGTAGAGCCTATGCATCATTATGTTCAGGGCATCAGTATAAGAACTCAATAAAATTTGTTGGTTCAACCGAGTTAATATAGGTCACTAAAATAACTGCCTTAGTGAATTGAGCACGAGAATAATCTTAGAATTGTGTTTATAAAATGAGTGGAATTTGGGTTTGTTTTCTCTGAAGAATTTAAAATATTTTACTTAAAATGTTGATTATAGTCTTATTTTAATTAATTAGCTCTTGCTTCACACAGACACACAAAGCACAAAAGAGGATTCTGGGCCAGCCCTAGTGGATTAGTGGTGCCTCAGCTATTTAAGGCCTTAGTACACTTTTAAGTTCTCTGGTTCTGCAAGTTGGTACAAATGCAAAGAAGAATGCGCAGCTGAAATCTTTCAGAACAGACTTTTTTCACCCTCTCTGGACCAGAGAACTGATTAGACAAAAGAACCTCAAATGTGGATTAGGAATAACTTATCCTCTTAACTTTAGGCACATGAATATCAGAAAAAGAACTATTCTAATAGCATTAGGAATCCTGGTTGTGCTAATCCAGTTTATGAAATTTTATATTAATTATGGGTCATTCTCAGACAATGGGAAAATAGGTTTACTAATAAAAGAAATTTGTTAATAACAATTGACTGAATGTCCACATATATCTTTATTCCTTTACTTATTGGAGTATATTATCTGTTTTTGTTCTTGTTTCCCTACTTAGAGAGTTTCTTGAGACAGTGCCCTTGTTTATTTGTCACTGTGTGGTAAAGCCCAGCACTTAGTAAGTAGTTATTAAATATTTTATTCCAATATAAATCGTACTTATTTAAATTTGAATTTCTGCTTGTTAGATGCTAGCTTATGGAAATATATTTTTGTAAATTGATGTTGTATCCTGCATTCTTCCTAAACTCATTTATTCTGGCAGTTTTTTAAGTAGATTCCATCATATTTTCTAATAGAAGATCATGTTGCTGTAAATAAAGACAGTTTTACTTTTTCTATTCTAATCTAGATGGTTTTTATTTCTTTTCTCACCTTATTTTATTGACTAGAACCTCCAGGACAGTGTTAAATAGAAGTGGTAAAAGAGGACATCCTTGTCTAATTCCTGATCTTAAGTAGAAAATACTGAGTCTATCACCATAAAGTGTGATGTCAGCTATAGCTTTTTTCATAGATGTCCTTTATCAGGTTGGGGAAATTTTCTACATACTGAGGGTTTTGAATCAGGAATGGATGTTAGATTATGTCAAATGCTTTTTGTTGTTGTTGTTTTCATTAAGATTATCATATGAATATTATTTATTAGTTTGTTAATATGGTGAATTATATTTATTTTCTTAGAATATTAAACCAACTTTGCATTTCTGGGATAAACCAGAAACATATATTATCATTTTAATCAACTTTTAGATTCTGTTTAAGACTTTTACATCTATGTTCATGTAGGATATTAGTCTATAGTGTATTGTTTCTTGTAATGTTTTTGGTTAGTTTATGACGGCTTTAAAGAATGAGTTGGAAATTGTTATCAGCTCTTAACTTGTCTGGAAGACTCTGTACAGATTACTATTATTTCTCCCTTCAGTATTTGATGGACTTCATCAGTGAAGCCGTTTAAGCCTGAAACTTTTGTTTTTTGACAGGGTTTTGATGACAAATTCTATTTCTTTAGTAGAGACGGGACTCTAGATTATCTATTTCATTTAAGATATCTATTTCATAAGATTTGTTAGTTTGTGTCTTTCAAAGAATTTATCCATTTCACCTAAGCTAGTGAATATATTGGTATAATGTTGTCTATAATAATTCCATATTATTTTTTTTAATATCTGTAGAATCTGTAGTTATGTTGCATTTCTCATTCCTGATATTGGTAACTATACCTTTTTCCTTTTTTTTCACTGATAAATCTGGCTAGGGGTTTATCAGTGTTATTGATCTCAAAGAACCATCTTTTTTAATTTAATTTTTTTATTAATTTTGTTTCATGTTTATTTATTTTGAGAGACAGAGTATGCAAGCAGGGTACGGCAGAGAGAGAGAGAGAGAGAGAGAGAGAGAGAGAGAGAGAGAGAGAGAGAATCCCAAGCAGGCTCTGTGCTGTCAGTGCAGAACCCAACACAGGGCTTGATCCCATAAACCATGAGATCATGACTTGAGCTGAAATCAAGAGTCAGACTCTAAACTGACTGAGTCAATCAGGTGCTCCAAAGACCCATCTCTTTAAACATATATATATGTGTGTTTGTGTTTAAAACTGAATTTCTTGTTGGCTGAATATAGTTTGGTCTTTTTTATCAATTTGATAATATGTGTCTTTTAGTTGGGATATATAGACCATTCATATTTAATGTGACTATTGATATGGTTAAATTTGAGCCTACCATCTTATTGTTTTCTGTTCATTTCTTCCATTCTTTGTCCCTCCCCTCTTTTCTGACTTCTTTTGGATTAATCAATTCTGTTGTTGTTAATACCATCTAGTGTATTTTCATATCAGACATTGTAGTTTTCATCTCTAGAATTTCTATTTGGGTTTTTTTTTTAATATTTCCTGTATCTCTACTTAAATTTTTGAATATTTTAATATACCTGTCTGGTACCTATAACATATGTGTCAGTGTCAATTGACTGATTTTTGTCTTAATTATGGGTTATATTTTTCTGCTTCTTTGCATGCCTGGTAATTTTTATTGGATACCAGGCATTTACATTTTTACTTCATTGGTTGCTAGGCTTATTTATATTTCTTTAAACATTTTTGTGCTTTGTTCTGGGACTCATTGTTTTTGGAAACAGGTCCTTTTGAGTTTTGTTATTAAGATTTCTCAAGTGGGATTGAAATGTGCAGCGTAAGGCCAATTTTCCAGTACTGTCCAAATACTAAGGCAGAATTTTTCTGTATGTTCTACTAAATTCTCCATGAATCATGAGATTCTAGTCTGGATGGTGGTAATAGATAGGTCCTACTCTCAGTTCAATGCAGGTGACTATAATTTCCTCTAATCCAGAGAGATTCCTCTTGGCCTTGGGTAATTTGCTTACATAAAAGCACTGATAAATATTTCAGCAGAATACTTAAGGGGGAAATTATGCAGAGCTTCAGAACTCTCTCTGTAGGTTTTCCCCTCTGTGGGACTCCTTCTTGTGAATTTTAAGTCACTGCATTCTCCTCAGATTCTCAGCTTCATCTTCACAACTAGAATCTTCTAGGTTCTATCTAGGTTCACTTTCTGGGCATCACAGCACAGAAACATTTCATAGCACTAAGCTGGTACATTTGAATGACTTACCTTGTTTAGTGATCATCATTTTTTATCGTATGATGTTGAGTATCTCGGACACTGTTGTTTTAATTTTTATTATTTCAGGCGAGAGGATAAATCTAGTCTTTAAGAGCTTAATTTTGGTTGGGAGCTGAAGTTCACCAATTGATAAAATTTTTGACATAAATTTCAGAGACCTGATTAAACTTCATATAGAACAACTTGGGGTGTGTGTGTTACATATCTTTGGAAGTGGGAAAGTGAGATTATAGTATTTTATGACTAAAGGCATTAGGCATAATATGCTAATGCAGGCTGGATAATGCAGGAGGCAAGAAATTTTAAAAAGACTGTTAAGACTTACAAATAGTGTGTACACTATGTATATGGTAGTGAATCAAAAGAGAAACTCCCTATTCTAAAGTTTTTTAAATCTACACCCGATATGGAGCTCAAACTCCAAGATCAAGAGTTGTGTGCTCTTCCGACTGAGCCAACCCGGTGCCCCAAAGTCCCTTTCTTCATCAGACTTCATTAGAGTTTGCATGAGCACAAGTGTTTGCCTAATTTATTATTTTTTTCACTCATTGAGATGTTTTATTTAATTAGGATAGACAATATAACCCCAAGAATATACAACATATGACATGCATTACCTCACAGCTTTGTATTTCCCCATTGTAACACCTGTATTGTATTATAATTGGCAATTTATTTGCTTCCCCAACCAATCTGTCAGCTTCTCTACATCAAGATTAGGGTGTTTTTATTTAGTCTTTTATCCCCATTGTCTAGCACAATGCAGAACACAGCCGGTATAAGTGAGTGAAGAAATGAATGGATGATTAGATGAATGAATGGTATAAATTTTCAGTATTAGGGTTGACTGTCAAGGAAGTTATTTTGGATAAATGGGTCTCTTGGTTACTTTTAACCAAAAGGTCAGGTTACGTCTGACACCTAACAGTCAAAATAGCCAACACATTTATTCTCAAGCCCAAATGAGGTTGGTGTGTAATAATAATAGGGTTATGTGCTCAGTATATGTTTTTTTTTGTTGTTTTGTTTTGTTTTGTGAGTCAGCTTCACACCCAGTGTGGAGCCCAGTGTGGGGCTTGAAGTCATGACCCTGAGATCAAAACCTGAGCTGAGATCAAGATTCAGATTCTTAACCAACTGAGCTACCCAGGTGCCCCTCAGTATATGTTTTTTTAAAGTTTTAATACTAATCTCTGTGACAACATCAAGCTTTTTATTGCCTTCAAATTTAAACAAATAAACAGCAGTACTTCCTAAACTCAAACAAGTGAGAAGCTAATTATATGTCCACTTGAGCAATATCCAGTATTTACTTCATGATATGGCAAAGGCAGCTCTATATTCTTCCAATATGAAGCAATAAATTGATAGATAAAATTTTTAAAAGGCAGCAGTTAATTGTGGATCATGGCCTTGGCAGCAGGATCCATGTATGGGTTTCTAGGACCAAGAACAATGCCTAGAAGGGGTGCCTGGGCGGCTCAGTCTGTTGGACGACCGACCTCAACTCAGGTCATGATCTCATGGTCTGTGGGTTCTAGCCCTGTGTTGGGCTCTGTGCTGACAGCTCAGAGACTGGAGTATACTTCAGATGCTGTATCTCTGTCTTCTCTTTCTCACCTTGTGTTCTATCGAAAATAAACATTAAAAAAATTTTTTTAAAAAAGAACAATGCCTAAAAATGAATGAAGAGGTGAATGAACAACACTTCATCCTTCTATAGGTTAATTCACTATCTCAAAATGACTCTGGGAGCATAACTCAAAAAAAGGAAAAGGTAAACCCATTTAGCAAGGTAATATCTATATTTGATGAGGATGCTATTATTATGGTTTATGAAAAGAATACCCATTTTTTAAAAAAAATGTATATTCAATAAAGCATATATTTTATAATCAAATGGCCTTGGGCCACTGTAGAAAATGGGCAGGAAGATTGTTTTTTAGGATATTTGTGAAATATAATGCTGTAGCTTAGCTCAAACTATTCAAGCCATGATTCAATACCCTGAATTCCAATCAAGTTTGTAAAATGAGGTGTCACATTGAAAACCTCTGCCAGAATTAAGTTGCTTCTCAGAAGGTCAGAATAGTACAAGGGCACACAGGGGAAGAGAAGGAGAGAAGCCACACATAAAAGAAAACATGGTAAAGTTGTGCATAAGTTATGGGGCTTTAATGATATTTTATAATTCAACATCTGGCCAGATATTTGATAGGACATCAAATATAATTATGAAGAAGTGAAATATCAGAAAAGAATTCATTAAAGATGTTCAAGTCAGACTTGTCAAATTGACTTATTTCCAAACTCTGCTTATGTTACATATAAAAAAAAAAAGGTCAAGGGGGGGCGGAAATTAAATTAGATTCTAATAGCTTACCATGCAAGCTTTGTTTTGTTTTGTTTTTTGTTGTTGTTTTGTTTTGTTTTTACCATGCAAGCTTTGAGGATTAGTTTGCAACTGCTG